CAATCTGTTTATAAATAATTATTTTAAAAATAATTTATAAACAAGTACTTTTGCTTGCACACTAGCAGCATGTTTGCAGACTGGAAGGTGTAAAATTTGACTGACAAACACATTGTCTGGTTAAATCTTATGTGTTCGGTTTGTATATCAAAGATTGCAAGCAATGTTTAAAAAGTATTCAAATAATTAAATTATTGCAGTTTGGTTGAGTATATAAAAATTTAGATAAATATAATTTTTTTCCAACTATTATTCGAACCCTTCAAACATCCTCAAAAGCTGAATTGGCCTCTGGACATACCAAGAGTTCCCCCTTTCACACAGCACTAATTTTCTTAGTAGGGAAGTGTGGATTTTTCTGGAAAGACCAATAATCACCATATACTGTAACACTACTGTAACTACCATAATACAACAGTGAGGATATTCTCCTCATCAGGCATCTCTATGGGTTATAAGCTGTGAATGGGTACATAGTTTAATAGTTTTCCAATCCATCCGATTCCCTAGAGATGCCTGTGGAGGAACCTAAGTGAAGCCTGTTTTCCACTAAGCGAATTTGTTCATGCTAAGTGAAGCAAAAAAGTTTTGGCAATGTGTTTGGTAAGCTAGTGAAAACAATTTGCCGGGGAAAAGTTGGATCAGTTCCTACTGTTTTACTTGTTGCTTTGCTTTGCACAAATAATTTCGCCTGGTGGAGAACAGGCTTACTGAGAATGTGTATAAGAATGAAATGTGTAAGTTTTCAAAATACAATTAATTTAAATTGTTTTTTTTTTTCATTTCAATCGTTCTAGCTGAACAGCAGTTAAAGCACAGATATGTAAAACATTATGGTTATGAATTTATATATGGTTCAAATAATGTGGACAAAGACAACCCATTACCAAATGGAATTCCAAGTGAATGTTTGCCAGTTATGGAAAAGCTTGTTTCACTTGGTTGTGTCAAGCATGAACCAGATCAATTAACAGTTAATGAATATCAGCCTGGTCAAGGCAAGTAAATCCAAACTACTTTAATTCAAAATTTTCTGGGCATATATAAATCCTAACACATCCTCAGCAACATACAGTATTTATAACTTATCTGTTTACTCATTTTTGGTCAGGAAAACGATGTTTAATTTTTAAACGATATAATATAATATGTGCTGTCTGATATAGTATGTACTTTTGTATTAGTCCTGGTAGTGTCAGATTATTCTTTTTTAAATCGAAATGATTTCTATAGTATACAGTATGATTTCTGTAGTATTCTTATATATGATAATACGAGGCACGCTCATTATAATAATACTAAATTTTATATGAATTGAATGCTAGCTATATACAAGTGACGTCACATAAGTACTGTACATGACGTCAGGTTATTACATCCCTCCGTTGTTTTGAATGGAGGTTCGTCGGGCTATATATATATATATATATATATATATATATATATATATATATATATATATATATATATATATATATATATATATATATATATATATATATAGTTTTTCGTTTTACCTCAAAAAACCACAAAAAACAGACTGTTGTGGTTTTTTGAGGTAAAACGAAAAACTATATTACGCTCTATCTATATGGTATTGAGCACTGTTTGTGTTTCGTAAACCAAAATCTTAAGCTATATATATATATATATATATATAGTCAAAAGGTCTGCTACACGATCTTGTTGATGTGTGATGATAGTGATTTTCTTGAACTGCGAGCTGTAGCTGGTTGCGTTTCTTGCCGTTATCATACTACCTTTGATCTTGACAATAGTGTATGGATATTTGTTGTACGGTGATGCCGAGAACAGTGACGAGAACAGTGTCACCAACTTGAAAGCTGTGTGGTTTTGCTCTGGCTGCTGTATCAGCATACTCTTTCATCTTTTCCTTCTTTTTGAGATCGATATCGGCGAATTTGGACCGTGATGGGGACGTGGGGACTACTTCAGGTAACTTGACAGTCAATTTTCGTCCAAAGAGGAGCTCGGTAGGGGAAGCTCCTGAGGTGGAATGTGGCGTCGCACGGTAGTTTCGGAGAAAAAGAAACAGTTCTTACTTCCAATTCTTGTTTTCGAGGTGGGCAGCGCGGAGTGTTTTCTGAATTGTTGGCATGAAACGTTCAGACTCAGAATTGGCTTTTCGCCACTCCGGAGTGATCTTTCGGTGGTGAAACCCCATGTACTGCGCGAACTGGGCGAAAGACTGGGAGGTCCGTTGTCAGACTTGATTTCTGCCGGAATGCCATGCGTGGATAAAATGCGGTCAAGTTTCGGGATAACGGTATTTGCAGAGGTGGAGCGAACAATCTCAACCTAGGGATAGCGCGAGTATTCGTCGATTACCACGAAGAGCATATCGCCGGAGGGAAGAGGACCACAGAAATCGACAGAGAGTTGTTGCCAAGGGTCCTATGGTAACTCAGTCATGCGTAGGGGTTCAAATGGCTGTTAAACGACTGTTGCCTGACAGGCGAGACAATTGTCAATTAGCTTTTTCGTAAGCCCATCGATTCCAGGAAACCAAATCTTTTCGCGGAGCAGCTGTTTGGTTTTGGTAAGGCCTTGATAACCTTCATGGACGATGTGGAGAGCATGTTGACGAAGGGCATGTGGGAGGATGAGAGCGAAGAAGGAGATCATGATCATCAGAAACACTCAGTTCGTCGCGGATATTGTAGAGAGCGTGGAGGTTCTGGGAGTTGACAAGGGCACTGGGTGTCTCAAAAGTTGAGTGCCAGGAGTTGTTACGGAGGGCTTCGATAACTTCGATAACGGCTTGCAGAGTGGGGTTGGCACGGGTGGATTGTTTCACTTCAGAAACGATCATAGCTTTTGGGGTGGTATGATGATATGATCTGCTAAGAACGCGATATATTCTTCAGTCTGGTCGGATGTAGTGGAAGGGTGGGTTGTAGCTAGAGGGTGACGGGACAGATAATCAGCGGGGTTGGTTTTGCCAGGAGAATAGGAAATGGTGAAGTGGTATGGTTGAAGCTTGAGGGCCCAGCGTTCCAATCGGGCATTGGAACGAGCAGCGGGATTGGTAAAAATGTGTTCAAGAGGTTTGTGATCTGTGATGATGTTGAATTTCGCGCCGTAGATGTAAAGATGGAAATGTTCACAAGCAAACAGTACGCCGAGGGCTTCTTGTTCTGTTTGGGAATACCGTTGTTCAACGGAGTGAGAGAACGACTTGCTCAGGCAACAACATGGTTGTCTTGGCAAAGAATAGTTGAATGAGAGTGTAGAATGTTTAATGATATTGGAGAAGAATGAGCCTTGTGAAATGAGGTGGTGTTGAAGCTTGTCTTCGTGTTGTTTCCTGATAGTGTTTAATACGTCTTTAGTGTTTTTGTATTTGTCATATTGTACATTTTTGTGATTGCTAGTATCCTTCCAAAGTTGTAGTATCCTTCCAAAGTTGTAGTATCCTTCCAAAGGTTATTGATCGCTTCATTTGGCGACGATTTTGGAGCTTTCCGAGAACAGTTTGGCATTAAAGGAATTTGGTTGAAGGTAGAATGATATTTAATCCAAATTTATTGTGAGGAAGTAGGATGTTACTAAGGGTTGCAGAAATAGGACGTTCAAGCCATTTCCGGATAACGATAACAATAACAATAATATGACGTTCACGAAAGATCGCACGATTGGGTTGGCGCATATCGATATATTCGAGGCGAATCTCATCAGGGTTCTTTGATTTTGGTGTAGGTAGGTAGGTAGGTAATACTTTATTTAAAATTAACAGAAAGAAGAACACGCTAGCCCCATCAACTCTAGGCTGGTTTCCATGGGGGGCGTGTTTAGATCTTAAAAATCATTAAAAGGAAAATTGAAACTAAATATTAGTACACACATACTGTACACGTTACTATATACAAATAATTAGGAAGCATGTCGCTGTCCAACAATTGATTTAAACGAATGAGGCGACTCGGCCAATTTTGCTTCGTTTGGGAGTTGATTCCAGAGCATAGCGCCGCTATATTTAAAACTTTTTTTAAGAAATTCTCGTTTCGGTTTAGGAATTGTTAGATCAGTTGCTGTGTTTCGAAGATGATAATTAGTTTGATCTATTTCTCTTCTCACGAATGACGCCCGGAGACCTGGCGCAGTGTGGTCGTTAAGTATTTATACATTAATACTGACTTGGCACCAGACCGCCTATTTTCAAGTGTACCCCAGGAAAGCATGTTGAGAAGATCAGCTGAGCGAGTATCATAATTAGCACCCGTTAGGACTCTTGCTGCACGAGACTGAAATCTTTGCAACTTGTCTCTTAGCAACTTACCACAAGTGTCCCAAAGGGGGGAACAATAATCAAAGTAGGGCTGCACAAGACTTTTATAAATCGATTCTAATCGACAACGAGAGGGGACATCCAAGGAGTTGGGCCATCAACTGATTCGATAGCAATCATAACCGGCTTTGGCCTTCGGGGTGGTTAAATCACTGACATGGGAAATAGTTACTATGAAAAGATACTCATCCTCAGAGGTAAGGTATTGTTGAGTGTCGGTATTAAACGTTGCGAATCTCGCGTGGAGGTTGACGTGGAAAGGAGTTAGGACGGGGTGGTTGAAAACGCGATTGAGGGAGCTACTTTACGATTGAGGGAGCTACGAAGGGAGCTACTTTCATCGAACGTTGGTCTGATAGGTTTAGATCGACAACAACAGCCAAAATGGTCCATTTTCCCGCACGAACGACACTGGGAACCGCGCGCAGGACAGCTGGCTTGACCTTGTGGATGGGGATAGCCGCAATGTACACATGCAGACGATGGGCTTGGGAACTCTCGAGAACGTGCATGGGAAAGGAGCAGATGGCGATTGACGGGATTGAGAACGCTGAGACATACGAGTATAGTTTAAAAGTTCAGTTTTATCAGGAGAAATGGATTTAGATTCAATGCCAGAGGCTTGTTTTTCAGATATTTCCATAGTGCAACCGAGATTTGATTTCTTCCTCAACAGAGGTAAATTCGCAAGTTGAGGCCAGTTGGCGCAGATGAGTGGTAAATTGATCGAGAATCTCATTTGGTTGTTGGCGAGCTTGACGAAAGAGGTATGTTTCGTAATCAACGTTGCGTTGCGGCGTAAAATGCTCGGTTAGGCGGTCCATCGCTTTCTTGTAGTCTTTCTCGTCACCGGTATCCGTTAAGGTCTCGAATATATCAAATGGTGGCGAGCCAGCATAGTGTAAAAGAAGTGCGCGTTTGCATGTCTCATCATCGATATCCATGGCAAGAAGAACATTTTCAAAGCGTTTTTTCCATTTAATCCAGCGTTGACCAGTCGCGGTGGTGTCGTCTTCAACATTGAACGGAGGAAATGGTGGTAAAGATGAGGCCATGGCGCATGTGGAGATAATAATAATAATAAATAGTTGAATTCACTTCAATAATTAAAATTCACTTAATTGTGCTCTCGTTTGGAATATTGGTCTTACCCAAAACCGTTTTAGGTATTTGGTACGTCTTTTTCGTCGACTTCGCAATAACAACGTACAAAATAAACTCTTCCCGTCACTACCTAGCCTGCGAACGGGCATGCCATGAGTTACGAGATTGGCGTGTGGTGGAAACGGAATGACATTGGTGCGAGTACTCGCAGCCAGCTGCGAGGCGCTTTGTGCGAGGACTGGAAATCCGCCTTAAAAACATCAATAATATTTGCATGTAATAAACTGAGAGAAACGTTCTGTACGTGCTCTTGCTCTATTTAGTGATTTTAGTCCCTCGTGTTTTAAATTATAACTATGTTCACGTTCATTATGAATATTATGCCTCAGAATGTTAGCAATA